TTATGTTTTCATGAATATATGTGTGTTCTTGATCCTATCTTGTAAGCTGTAGACACCTATTACGAGTTATGATTCGGTATACCCCATGGTGACAATAATTGGGATTCTTTCCAGTGATTACCATAGTTTGAGGAGTTCATGTATTCAATAAGTGTTAATGCTTTGTTTCGGATCTCTATTAAAGTGAGGCCTTAATACCCCTTAGTTTCCTTATGGACCCCGCTGCCACGAGAGGGTAGGACAAAAGATGTCATGCAAGTTTTTTTCCACAAGCACGTATGACTGTATACGGAATACATGCCTACATTACATTGATAAATTGGAGTTAGTTCTGTGTTGCCCTAGGTTTTGACTACTACATGATGAATATTATCCAACACAATTATCTGTCGTCGATCCAATGCCTACGAGCTTCTCAAATGTTGTTCTTTGCTAAGTTACTTTTGCCGTTGCTATTGTTACAATCACTACAAAACTGATGTTGCTACTATTGCCACTGTTACCGTTACTATCATCATACTTTTCTACTAAATATTTTGCTGCAGATATTAAGTCTTTTAGGCGTGGTTGAATTGACACCTCAATTAAGTAATACTTGTGAATATTCTTTGGTTTCCCTTGTGTCAAATCAATAAATTTGGGCTGAATACTCTATCCTCGAAAACTATTGCGATCCCCTATACGTGTGGGTTATTAAGACATTTTTATGGCGCCATTGCCAAGGAGCATAGCTCTATTTGCTGAGTCATTTGGGATTTATATTTGTTGATCACTATGAGGAATCTTAAATATACCAGAACCAAGATCGTTCCCTCTGAGACAAGGGGGGTAAGGAACTGCTATCTAGCTCTGCACTTGATTCACCTTCTATTTTGAATAAGCTTGCAACACCACCACCTGCTATTAATTCTTATATGTCGCAAGTAATTGATGATGCTACTTCTACTATGAATGATGCTTATGATGATGCTAGTACTTAGCTTCATAAGACTGTGCCAGTGGATGAATTTCTTGATGAACAACTTGCTAGGGTTAATGAAATTGAGAATGCTGAAACCGATGATATTTCTGAAACTGATGAAATTATTGAAATTGAAAACTTTGAAACACCTATTAGATCTAGCACTCCTAGATATGAATTGCCCGATATACCTAAGGGTTTTGTTATGGATGGAGAGGTAGCTAGAGACTTTCTTGCTTGTAAGGATAGAGATGGTCTTAAGAAATTACTAGTAAAGTTGTAAGAAAAATCTTTGAATGCAAGAGTGAAATATGATCCTAAGTTTGTTACTTCACCTATCTTTGTTACTGATAAGGATTATGAATTCTGTGTCTATCCTAAGTTAATTACTTTGGTTGAATCTAATCATTTCCATGGTTATGAATCTGAAACTGTTATGACACATCTTACTAAATTAAATGATATAGCCACCCTATTTGCTCATGAGGAAAAAAATTGTTATTACTATATTCTTAAGTTGTTTCCTTTCTCGTTAAAGGGTGGTGATAAAACTGTTGGGAATCATTGCATGGAAACAAAAAAATTCTACGCACACACAATGATCTATCCATGGAGATGCATAGCAACGAGGGGGAGAGTATGTCTGCGTACCCTCGTAGACCGTAAGCGGATGCGCTTCACAACGCGGTTGATGTAGTCAAATTTCTTCGCGCTTCAACTGATCAAGTAGCAAACGCGACACCTCCGCATTCTGCACGCATTCAGCTCGGTGACGTCCCTCGCCTTCTTGATCCAGGAAGACGTCAAGGTAGTAGATGAGTTCCATCAGCACGACGGCATGATGATGGTGATGGTGAAGTGATCTCCGCAGGGCTTCGCCTAAGCACTACGAAAATATGACCGGGGGTGTAAACGGGTGGAGCAGGGTGCCGCACATGGCTAGACAATTGTCTGTTGTGTGCTAGGCACTTGTCTGTTTTGTGTTAGGCACCCCCCTCCCACATATATATAGGTCGAAAGGAGGGAGGAGCAGCCAAGGGGGCGCCCAAGTAGGAGGGATCCTACTTGGGGTCTCTCCCAAGCCGCGCCCCCCTTTCCTTATTTGGAGCGCGCGGAAAGGCAGGGGAGGGTGCCCCCCCCCCTTTTCCTTTCTCCCATGAGAGGGAAAGGCGGGAGGGGCTAGCCCTCCACTTTTCCTTCCCTAGGCTGGCCAACCAAGGGAAGGGGCGCACCAGGCTCCTTGTGGGCTATTCTATCCCTTCCTTTGGCCCATAAGGCCCATAACTTGCCGGGGGGTGCCCGGAACCCCTTCCGGTGACCCGATTACTTTCCCGGTATGTCCCGAAGCACTTTCGGTGTCCACATACAATCGTCCTATATATCAATATTTACCTCTCGACCATTTCAAGACTCCTCGTCATGTTTGTGATCTCATCTAGGACTCTGAACAACATTCGGTCACCAAAACATTTAACTCATATAACATTATATCGTCAACGAACGTTAAGCGTGCGGACCCTACGGGTTCGAGAACTATGTAGACATGACCAAGACAGCTCTCTGTTCAATAAATAATAGTGGAACCTGGATGCCCATATTGGCTCCTACATATTCTATGAAGATCCTTATCGGTCGAATCCTTATCACAACATACGTAATTCCCTTTGTCCATCGGTATGTTACTTTCCCGAGATTCGGTCGTCGGTATCTATATACCTAGTTAAATCTCATTACCGGCAAGTCTCTTTACTCGTTCCGTAATACATCACCTCGTGAATAACTCCTTAGTCATTTGCTTGCAAGCTTATGATGTGTATTACCGTGAGGGCCTAGAGATACCTCTCCGATACTCGGAGTGAAAAATCCTAATCTTGATCTATGCCAACTCAACAAACACCTTTGGAGATACCTGTATAGCATCTTTATGATCAACCAGTTACGTTGTGACGTTTGATAGCACATGAGGTATTCCTCTGGTATCCAGGAGTTGCATAATCTCATAGTCCAAGGAATATGTATTTGACATGAAGAAAGCAACAACAATAAACTGAACTATCATTATGCTAAGTTAAGGATGGATCTTGTCCATCACATCATTCTCCTAATGATGTGATCCCATTATCAAATGACAACATATGTCCATGGTTAGGAAACCTTAACCATCTTTGATCAACGAGCTAGTCTAGTAGAGGCTTACTAGGGACACATTATTTGTTTATGTATTCACACATGTATTTAAGTTTTCGATCAATACAATTCTAGCATGAATAATAAAATTTTATCATGAATAAGGAAAAATGAAATACAACTTTATTATTGCCTCTAGGGCATATTTCCTTTAAAGACATGGTATAATTCTCTTGCTCCTAGTTGTGTGCGTAGTCCCCGGGATATGATATATTACTTCCCTGAAAAATATTTCTCTGCTCATAAGAAACAAGCTGCTCTATAGGAAATATTTAACTTTGTGCAAATTGAAGAAGAGAGTCTCTCACAAGCTTGGGGGAGGCTTCTCCAATTACTTAATGTTTTGCTTGATCATCCTCTCAAGAAAAATGAAATACTTGATATCTTTTATAATAGACTAACCGATGCTTCTAGGGACCACTTAGATAGTTGTGCTGGTTGTGTTTTCAGAGAACGAACTGTTGAACAAGCTGAAGAACTATTGAATAATATATTTAATAATGATAATGATTGGACTCTCTCCGAACCACCGCCCAAGTCAACTCCGAAGAAGAGAGGTATTCTAATTCTCAGTCTTGAAGATATGCAAGAGGTAAAGAAATGTATGAAAGAAAAAGGTATTAAAGTTGAAGATGTTAAGAATTTACCACAAGTTGAAGAAATACAAGGTCTTAATACCCCGACATAGGTTTTAATTTTTTTCCTCTTGTTTATCTGGTTAATTTGCTCTTTTTTCCTTTAATATGAATATTTAAAAAAATACATTTTCAAGTTTTTTTCAAAGTAATTAGAGAGCATTTTTCGAATATCCGGTGAACATTTTTTTAGTGCGTGATGAACAATTTTCTAGACTTGTTCATGCAATTTTTAATAAAATTTCATTTATTTTAGAGAAGTTTTATGTATTTTTTAAAATTTTAATATTTCTTTTAAATGTGTCCATAGAATTTAAAACTGTTCACGTATTCTTAAAAAAAATATTCATCTAATTTTTAGAAAATATTCGCACAATTTTCTGAAAAAACCGTGTAACAAAAATGTTGTATAAACTATGTACATGTGTGTGTGTGTGTGTGTTGACCTCTGTCCTTTGGTAATTTTTTGGGGGGAATTGTCCTTCGGTACTTTAACAACCTCACGCACCAAGTTCATGGCTCACGAGCAAGCAATAGCCCAACCCAGGTCCATCGAGGAAGACAGAGAAAATACAACAACGAACAAGCAAGGCCAGGCCTATGACGTCAGCCCGACTGAGACCTAGACATATCCTTTTTTAAAACTAATCTGTTTGTGTGCAGGTTGGATTTCTCATATGCTTTCTAGAAAAAGAAAAGACTCTTTATAGACGTGTCAATGTGTACATAGTTTATATTTTATTTACATAACGTTACATATATCTACTTTTAAATCTCATCCGTCAATCTTTATGGTTATCACAAAATCAACGGATATAAAGGTGATACATGGAGCACTATGAAAGCCTCCTCCCTTTAATATTAGGTAAAGATAAAGATTGGCTAGAGCATGCACTTTTACACCATCAACAGAAAGTCCCGCGCGATAATTTCATCAACTGCAATATCCGTCGGCTCAGTCTTTTGAAGATGCTCATAGGAATAGAACGTGTTTGTGCGCGGTGAGTGTTCGTATATAAAAATGAGTGCATGTGCATGTGTGAACATGAAAGGCAAACAACTGGCGCTGAAGCATCATCATTTTCTTTTATTTCAATTCGCATCCGAAATTCGTTCACACGAGAAAAAGATGAGAAAAAAATATTACAATATCAAACACGCCAATTATCTTGGTTATTATGGGACGCGTCCACATTGCATCCGCCGGTCGATAATGCTCACGCATGCACGTAGGCATCGAGCTCCAGGAGAACGTCGTTCCCATGCCAGTTCACCGTCTTCATCAGCACGTACCCCGTTGCCATCCTGAATCTCCCCATGCCGCCGACCACCGGGAGTTCCCGCACCGGCGCCAAGACGTTGTCGCGGCCGGTGACGGCAAGCGTGCTTCCGCTGCAGGGCCCGCTGGTGACTACCAGGTCCATGGAGACGTGCAGCGTGGGGTCGCCGCTGATGGAGGACGATGCGATGTAGAACCCCTGGGCGCGTCCGAGGGCCCTGGATGTCGTGTTAGGGCCTTCGGTGAGGGTGTCGTCCATGACCACCACGTCGCCAAAGCGCCGGTCCTTGGAGCCTCCCAGAAGCGGGCCGGTGCCGTGGGCGACCACGACGGCGCTGGCGTTTGGGCCGTTGGAGAAATCGTGCATGTAGAAGCGCAGGTGGTAGGATTCTCGCGCGCCCACGCCCCGGAAGGCACATGCGGCAGGGGAGACGATGACATGAGTAGAGGGGCTAGAGCTGCAAAGGTGGTGATGAGTTGGCGAGCCATGTCGATCTACCGATCTTGCATGCCAAGGTGATGGACCTAATCCTAATGGTGCATGCATGGATGTCCTTAAATAGCACGAGCTCCAGCAAGTGGTCGTTATGACAATGATGATGGATGCACGAAAGTAGAGTAACAGTGTTCCCTAGATCACTGCTCACCTTTTGCAAGTGCGATGGATGCATAGCAGAAGATAATGAATTAATTCATCGAGGGAGCGCATTTCTCTCATCCGTACCAAAATTCTTGTCTTAGATTTGTCTAGATACGGGTGTATCTAATACTAAAATGTGACTTGATACATCCGTATTTAGACAAATATAAGACACGAATTTTGGGACGGAGGGAGTACTAAAAAAAGAGATGTTCCATAAAATGTGACTTTTGAACACTTAGACTGCCTCTAAGTTCCATAAAACATCACACAATTCAAATACAATGCCACTTAAAACATCACGCAAGTTCAATAAGACACAAACAAGAGTTAAACATAGTGTTAAACACCACACAAATTTCAACTTAAACATAGTCCTAGGGTTCAAACAACAGAGCAACAGCTGCAACACCACTGCCTCTGGCATCTCTAGCACCCATAGCACCATGTCGATCGACCGATATGGCATGACAAGACAACGGACGATCTGATGCCGCTTGCATGGATGCCCATAAATAGCATGAGCAGCTAGCAAGTGGTCAAGTGCCATTAATGGCAAAAGGCGTTGAGGTGACCTGGCTGGCCAAAAGCCTAATGAAGCTGTCGGTCTGCGCCGAAGAAGATAAGAGCAAAGTACATGCATGTTGATAGTGGCATCGGTTGGTACATAAAGGATGGCCACAAATAAAGGTAGAAGTAGTGCTCGAGCACTGCTCAACGTTTGCAACTTTTGCCCAAAATAAGGAATTAATTAAGCTATACACATAGGTTAAACAAACATCATTATGAGGAAACATATCCAGATTGAAGTTATAATTCCAAATTATTTCAAGAGAAAAATAAAACTACATATGGAGCATCAATTTCCAGTAAGATAACTGGCAAATAAATGGAGGACACAACATTCCAGAATAATATAGACCCTCGGCATCATAATCATTCAACACAAGAAATATGATGATTGTACTCTACAGAGGGATGTTTTAAAACTCCTGAACAATTTTAAATTAATGAAGCTTTTTATGAATTTGCAAACATTTTTAAATTTAAGAATGTGTTTAGAAAACCGTCAAAATAAAAAAAAACAGCCAAAAAAATTACGTTAGTCCTATAGTTTTTTCCGTTTAGAATGTTTTTAGGGGAATTTTTGTTCTGTTACGAGAAACAGCCAAGCTTAACTTATCAATATTTAACAAAATTGCCATACTGAAATCATTTTTGGCTGGCCCTGTGCAACCTGGAACTCGAGACATCAATCATGGTCATTCTTCCTTCAGTGGACGTTGTTGGCCCTGTGCTGCACCCTCAATTTGGGCCTCCTCCTCTTGTGCGCCGCCGCGAGCTTCCTCTCCAGCGACTTCACCTTGTCGCTCAGCTCGGCAATGACCCCCATCTGGTCGTTGCCGGACGCCAGGAGCTTCTGCAGCATCTCCTTGAGCTTCTCGTTCTCGTCGCTCACTTCCTTCTTCTTGTCGCCGTCGTCGTCGCCCCCCTTCAGACCATCGCGCGTCGTCGCAGAAGCACCGTCACCATCCTGCTCCTTTTGCAGGTTTCCCGATGACACCTCGGAGTCGGCACTATCACCGTACAGCGCGCCACCGTCGTGCTCACATGGAGGTGGTCCGCCGGTTGCGTTTTCAGGTTCAGGTTCAGGTTCAGGTTCAGCACTGCCTTTACTCGGCAGCGATCCTGCATCCTTCACAGTACTTTCCATGGTCTCCAGTGGTACGGCTTCAGGCTCCTGTCCAATGGCATCATACAGAGTATTTTCCATGGTCCCGACTCTGCTTTCCAGTGGTGCAGCTTCAGGATCCTCTCCAATTCCATCATTCAGACAAGTTTCCATGGGCTTGCCTTGGACTTCAAATGGTACAGATTCAGTCTTCTCTAAACTGGCAGAGCCACATTCATTCTGCTGCTCCATGACTGCTGAATCGTCCATATGAGAAACCTCGCATTGTTTTGCCGCTTCTTCTGATCCTACCAAGACAACTTTTTCTTGCGTGATGTTCTTCTCTGCATTTGCACCCGTACCATAGTCCATATTCCCAGTATCGACAACACGAGTTCCATCTAGCTCTTTGCCTGAATCAACCTTGGCATCTTCTACTTCTTTCTCCATGTCGGCATTCATGACCTCTGCTTGTTGGTCTCCTGGATTCACCATTATGGAGTCATCTGCAACAAGAGGTGGGTCATTTGCATGTGGATCTGCAACTTCTGAATCCTCCAGATGAAGGGATGCTGCACTTGGTCCGTTGCACTGACCTTCAGCAGGAGCAGCATCCTGTTTCTGCCGCGAGCTACCAACGGAAGCAGATTCCTGCACCTGACCTCCTCCCTCAACCAAACTGTCCTGCTTTTCATAATACACAATTATTTGAGATTCTCATTACAAATTCTGTATTGCTAAGGTTGATTTTTAAACACATCTCCAAAATAAACAAAATTAAAACTCACCTTCTCGACGGTCACTTCACTGTCTGCACATGCCGCAGTCGTTGCAGTTGTACCATCCTCAGCTGTAGTAGGAGAAACACCTTGATCTGATTCTTCAGTGTGGCAGTTTTGCTCAGCAGGTGTATAATGCAATGGCTCCATGTGGTGCGTCGATGATTCTTCACCCTTCTCTGCGGCTTTCACCTGCTCATATTAACACTGTTAACATCCAATCCATGAACTAAAAAATTATCTTATTAACCAATGAGCAAAATAGTGTATGCCGATCAACAACATAAACAGGAACACAACTTACTTCTTCAGTACGTTCTTCCCTCAAAATGCCTCTCTCTTCAATTTGGTGCTTCTTCTCAGTGACAAGTCCCGACAAAGCTGCATCATGCATCACATCTGTCGGTGGTACTCCTTGACATTCACCGGCTGCTGCAGCTTTCCCCTATCGGACATGATGCGCGTCAGATATACCACTTCAAAACACAAGGGTTTTGCAATATTAGGATGCGAAACAATTGAAAACATAAGTTATCTTACTTCATCTTGCGCTTCTTCTTTTGCAGTACGTGGTTCCTCTGTTTGATGTTTCTGTTCAGTAGAATCTCCATCTTGACTCAACTTCAAGGCAACTTCCAATGAAACTTCATCGTGCATATGCTCGTTGGAGTTAACTGAAGAAGGCAATTGTCCTCCATCCACTCCCGTGGGACTTGCTTCCTCACTCTTAGGTTGATTTGGTTCAGCAGGCAGTTTCTTGCACAAAGAATCGAGCTTCTCCTGCAAACAAACTAGCTGTCGAGCAACAGACTTCCTAGCCTCCCTCACAACTGGATGCAGGTTCTGCACAGGTATACGAAGAGTCAAAACCAACACCATTCAACGGCCAAGTACCTAGCTAGCGTGCAATTTTTCGGCACACGAGAAAATGAATCAAATCAAATTAAGCTGAAAAGATGCAATACCTGAATGGTGTCAAGGTTCAGAAGTAAATTCATGATGGTCTCATTAATAGCGGCGTGCTCTTTCTCTGTCGGCTGCTTTGAAGAAGCTTCAAGGGCTTGCAGCTGCTTCTGCACCTCTTGCATCTGCATATGTACATTCTTGATCTTCCGTAGTTTCTCCAAGGGCTGCCATCTTCGTACATGGTACCCTCTGTATGCAGACTGAATACGAACAGCGGCATCTGGTTCTGATAACTTGATTCCGCAGGCTAAATTTGGAGCTCCACCTTGGAACTTCATCTCATTTTCCTTTCTGTTTTTGTCACACTCCTGCAAGCTCCTTGCACTGACATTTTCTTGTGCTTCAGCACTGACGGTAGGTTGCACCTTCTGATCAGTCACATTTGTGGAAACTTGTTCCTCTTGCGCATGCTTCACAGAAGCATCTAGCACTGTTACATTCCTAGGCCCTGTATTTTTGGCAATCTCATCAGATGGTTTCTCTTTAATCGGCATCTTACCCTCTTTCTGATGTTCTGATAGCTTTGTCTCCTGGTTCTTGGCTTGGGCCTCTTTCACATCCTTCACTTTTTCACAAACCTTCTTGGTTGCTGGGTTGGATGACCTTGAAGATGTGTTTCCTGATTTCTTCTTTGGCAAAGGATCCACTCGCAAGCATACTGGGGGTAATTTTGAAGGCTTAGCCTTTGATGCTTCAACATTGTTGCTTTTCTTATTTTCTCCCTCCTTCTGAACAATGATGGCCTTCTTTTCCTCTTTGTTTCCAGCCATGTAGGATTTATTCTCATCACTCTCATTCTGAGGCATAACCGGGATGGTCCTGCAGGTATGAACCTTCTTCTCAGGGTCCTGTTTCTCCGGCACAGCTGAAATAGTAGCAGGTTCATTCCCACTCTTTGGTTTGTCCGGCACAACTGAAATAGCAGCAGGTTCATTCCCAGTGTTCGGCTTCTCCGGCACAACTGGGATGGTCTTACAATTTCCATCCACTGTCGTGTCATGCCGATGCTGGGTGCTTGCAGGCTGTTTCACCGCTGATGATCTTCCATTTTGTTCTCCAGGGCCATCCCTAGCATCAGGCTTCTGATCATGACTATCATTTCCAAACCATGGCAAGGGAATGATCTTGATCTTCGGCGAAGGCGGATCTTCTTGGGTGCTCTTTGGACTCTGCTCGGTCTCCTTCAGCTCTTTTTTAGCTTCTGGTTTGGTCTCAACGCCATATCCCGGTGGCATCCAAACCATTGGCCACTGAAGTTGTTTCGCCTTCTGACTGTCATCAGCTGGCTCGACATCCTCTGCCCTCTCTCCACTCTGAGGAAACCACTTGCTGAAGAGCTGAGGTGGAAACTCAAAACTTGTTCCATTATTAGCCTTGTTGTCTTTCATGTCACCGGACGGTGGCCACATCACCGGGTACTGGTAGTTTGGGTTTCGAATTATGCTGGAATTATTGTCTGCACCCTTGTGGTTACTCTCAGGCTTCACTTC